GGGGGGGACTGTTTTATGGATAGCTTTTAGGTCACACTCGCTCTCGGACGGAAACAACACGCATATCCACGTAACTCGCAGTTCTGTCCGATTTTTCTGCTTTTGGGGGGGAAGTGAGCCTCAGTGCTCTCGGCTACCTCGCGGAGTGAACATCTCGAGAAGAGTCGAGCTGCGTGCGTGCGTAGACACGGGGAAGGGAGACCCAAGGCAGGCAGAGCGAGCAGAGAGCCCCGAACTGGGACCACCCCACAGAGTTGTTATTCGCACAACTCATCTAGTATATCCATAGCAGAAAGCCAAATATTTCACACGTACGGAAATAATTCTTAGTTACCACAGCGTTTCGATTACCTTTTCTATGATTTGCTTTCTCAAATCAGCTTCATACTTTTGATGGTTTCCTTTTTTCGTGCAGATATTATCTCACTCGAAATGTAAGCGGTTTTACTTTGCAGTGGTCAAAACTCCAGTTTCGGTATTTCGAGATCAGTTACACGGCCACACTACTCACATACATATCGAATCGCCAGCCGTTGCCCGTGAATGGAGCGCATAATGACCCACTTATCTTGCGTTTCCGGGAAACAACGGGGGCGCCGGGCCAAAGGAGACGAGTGGGACGAATCGGACTGCAGCCGGACCCCCCTGGTGGCGCTCGGACTGCATATCGAGTGGAAGTCGGGGATCGAGAGTGTCGATGAACCATAATCGACAGGTTCCTCTCAGAGCCTGCTGTTGCCACCCCTCGTTCACTCGGTGGGCGGTAGGACGACGCGACGGGTCGGTGTGGGAACCAACAGTCAGACAGGAAAGAATAATTAGTGAATCAAGCCATTGCCATTGACTGCGTCGAGTGGCGGACAGCTGGCCGGCGGGACCGTGATCACTCCTAATGGTGGCCAAGGGCTTGTGCCGGAGAGGAGTAGGAGTGTGTGTGAGGGGGTTCGGGGAGGGGGGGGTACTATATACTCTCAATTTAAGTTGAAGTTAAAACCTCTGTTGAAGCAAGACATGACAGTAACAATGAGATGTTCGCTACGCTCTAAAGATGAAATATTTTCAGGATTTTCAACGTGAACTTTAAAATTGTTAAATAATTTCATTCGAAAAATTATTAGTAAAAAAATGCGAATGCCGTGTTAAGAGCTACTTTTGGGATAGCTAATCACAAATTCACTGTGGCATCTAATAGTTAGTTGCCACAGTGAAGCTCTCACTGCAGGGGCAAATCGATTCGTTCTGACAACTAAATTGGGTGTTTCGCTTTCAGAACGAACCTATCGGCTCCAGCAGCGACAGCTTCGCTGTGACAACTAACTCTTGTCTGTGGCCACTAACTATTGGCTGCCAGAGCAAATTTCTTGTCAATCCCAAAATTACCTAATTTATAAGTTGAGACAACTAATTCTTCTTTTTCCGTGTTCATACATTGGTAACTTTTACGGGCGGAAATCACACGGCGGCGGACCGCGCCGGAAGCCGCCCGCGCTGCGCTCCCTTGTAATGAGAAACGGGACGCGCTGGTGACAATCCGAGCCAGCCATTCCTTTTGATGGGATGCAACGTCCACGGCGCACACGTCACAGACGCAGCTCCGCCATGCCCTTACCTAGTGATTGTGTCGCGATAACATAAGGATAACGGGCAAGCGGCGAGTCTTTTCTAACGTTAACTAACTAGAACAGTTTTGTAATTAACACGAGACGGGTTTGTAACGAAGTGGCTACGCACACATGAGTCCACACTTATTTACACACTACTGACCTAAAAATTCAGTGCGAATCTCAGTCCCTTCATCCCTGGGATGCGTAGGGACTTGCACCACACTGAATAAACAACAGCTATGCTTATAATTAGTATACTAATTCTTGCAAGTACTATTGGTACACTGTTAGGTTTGTAGTGCAAACAGACAAACGTACCGCCGGTAAAGAAGCCCAATAGCGACACCCACCGCGTTCATTTGTCTCTCGCGCCTGCTGAGCACAAGATGCCTGACCGTCGGCTGCAGTCCGTGTAGCAGCAGAGTGGTCTGGCGAATGTTAATAACGAGCAGGACATGCGCTTTTGGGCCCACTAGAGTCGAAAAACAACAGCGTCATGCAACTGTGTGTCGGGCAGCTCCGGTTGGCGCGGGAAAAAAAAGAATATAACCAGGAGAGATGGGAGAGAGGGAGGGGGGGGGGGCGTAGGGGATGAAAATATATTCACTCGCCATGACGAGGTCATAATGCCAAACTCTAAAGTAGAAGTAGTCGGCTGGTGGCTCGGAAAAGAGCGAGTAGAGGCAACGGGGGGGGGGGAGGAGGTGGTTGAATTACAAAAACGAATGAATACTGAAACAAGCTCAGCGGAAGACATACATTGCACAACAAAACGTCGAATGAACCCGAGGACGACACCCCAACTCGGCGCCGGAAGTGACAAAAGCACTACTACACCGCAACACGACAGCAGGTGAGCGCGCCTGACCGGGACCGGCCACAAAATAACTTGAAATCGCCCGACGACCCTTCGAGACGACGAATAAGCAATTCACGCCCCAGTCCCCGAGTTATATACCCCATCAGCTGCAAAGGCTGCTTCCCCCCAGAGAGGCACTACCCTCTCCTCCTGCTCAACCCATCACGGCCCACCAATTCGCGAGTCATAGCCAATTACGAACAAGCACACCTGCATGCTCCTCTGCTGGGGCTGCTCGGGGCCGGTGACCTGTGCCCTGGCCGTTAGGCCCTGGCCCACCCGATCAGTCTTGTCAGCCAGGATGAGCGTTTGCTTGGGAGCCACCTCCCTATCCTATCAGCTAAAGCCCGCAGCCTTATTATATCAGTCTTCATTAACGCGAGGAAAAAACTTGTGTCTCGCGGCTGAGTGAAACGAGAGCTGAAAAGACCGGCGTCGCGACGCGGCGCGGCCATCCGCCGTCCCGTCGTCGGCGGAGGGCAGCTTTTGT